AAGGAATGAGATCTTGCCATTTGCAACGACGTGGATGGAACTGGAGGATGTTATGCTGAGTGAAGTCAATCAGAGAAAGACATGTATCATATGATCTCACTGATATGAGGAATTCCTAATCTCAGGAAACAAACTGAGTGTTGCTGGAGTGGTGGGGTGGGAGGAATGGGGTGGCTGGGTGATAGACATTGGGGAGGGTATGTGCTATGGTGAGTGCTGTGAATTGTGCAAGACTGTTGAATCACAGATTTGTTTTTTTTTTTTTTTTTTTTTAGATTTTATTTTTTTATTCATGAGAGACAGAGAGAGAGAGAGGGAGAGGGAGAGGGAGAGGGGCAGAGGGAGAAGCAGGCTCCCAAGGAGCAGGGAGCCTGATGCGGGACCCGATCCCAAGACCCTGGGATCATGACCTGAGCCGAAGGCAGACGCTTAACCATCTGAGCCACCCAGGCGCCCTGTACTTCTGAAACAAATAATTTAATATATGTTAAGAAAAAAAAGAAGAAGAAGGTAGCAGGAGGGGAAGAATGAAGGGGAGTAAATCGGAGGGGGAGATGAACCAGTTGAAATGATGGACTCTGAAAAACAAACTGAAGGTTCTAGAGGGGAGCAGGGTGGGGGGATGGGTTAGCCTGGTGATGGGTATTAAAGAGGGCACAGTCTGTGTGGAGCACTGGGTGTTATGCACAAACAATGAATCATGGAACACTATATCAAAAACTAATGATGTAATGTATGGTGATTAACATAACAATAAAAAATTTAAAGGAGGGCGCCTGGGTCGCTCAGATGGTTCAGCATCTGCCTGCAGCTCAGATCATGATCCCAGGGTTCTGGGATCGGGTCCCGCATCGGGCTCCCTGCTCACAGGGGATCCTGCTGCTCCCTCTGCCTCTCTCTCTCTCTCTCTCTCTCTCTGTCTGTCTCTCATGAATAAATAAATAAAATCTTTTTTTTTAAAGATTTTATTTATTCATTAGAGAGAATGAGAGATAGAGAGCACGAGAGGGAAGAGGGTCAGAGGGAGAAGCAGACTTCCCACTGAGCAGGGAGCCTGATGTGGGACTCGATACCGGGACTCCAGGATCATGACCTGAGCCGAAGGCAGTCACTTAACCAGCTGAGCCACCCAGGCGCCCTAAATAAAGAAAATCTTTAAAAAAAAATAAAGGAAAAAAAATTAAAAAAAAAAAGTGTGTTAGTATTGGTTCAGTTCTTTATAAGCCAAGGTTGAGGCCTAGTCGAGAAGAGGACTCAGAGGAGTCTGGCTAGAGGTTGGTCAAGGAGAGACTCTGAGTACCAGAGTGGCAGTATGCCCTCATTTTCTTGTGATAAACAGTCACTGCTGTATGTTAACTGTTGTAGAGAAAGCTTCATTTAAAAATCTTAACTGAAAGAAAAATATGAAAAATTATGCTGCTGTGTTTCAGGGCCGGGATCTGGACTGTAAAATTCAGGAATATAAAGAAGCTGGCAAAAGCTTTCTGGAAGGTCAAATAATAGAATGGTTTATCCAGCTGTTGCTAGGAGTTGACTACATGCATGAAAGGTATGTTCATTTGTTACTGATGGACACGATTTTGACAATCATGTCTGAACTTGAAAAATTAATTTTTGGGGGTGGAATTGAAGCAAGTCCAAAGGTAAATGACTATAGTTAAACATCTACAGTATGCTTTTCCATGAGGAAACTGTTGAATGATTCAATATAGATTTACTTGAATAGCCATTTTTTGTTGATTTAGAAATCAAGTTGGCCCTGAATATAAGACAGAAACTTGTGTTAGACACATTTTCATATATCTGATCATATCCCGTGATTGTAAGCAATTCTCAGATACCTTTAGCATGCTATGAATTTATTGTATTTTTCAACAAGCTTGAGCTATTAATTTCGTGGTCCCCTTAGAATGTGTCAGTGTCACATCCCATGAGCTAAGTGATAGAGGCAGAAGATATTCTTAGGCCTCAGAGAGATAAATACTCAGACCACTAGTCAGTTTTGGACATGAAATATCTGATACAGAAGGTCAAAATATGTTTTATGAGTTCAGTTGTCTGTAATTTGTAATTATAATCTCTGCTTTTAAAAATGTATTTTAAAAAGTTTTAATTGTATTTTCCTGAGGTCAAAAGTAATAATCTTGGGATGTTTTAGAGACCCATAAGATGGTATGACCATGTTTGAAAAGATGAGCATACAGAGACAAAAGTAGATACTATGAGATGTCCATAGTACATCTTTCAACTTAGGAGTGTGTGCAACATTGTTCTTGAACAAAGGTTGAAATGTAGAGAGTACATCAAGGTCTGGCCATCCATGGATGTCAGATAGCTCAAATGTGTTGCCTGTTTTTTCTGAATGCATAAAAAGTAACCAGATAATACTGAGCTTTTGCCATGTATCTTCTAAACACATGCTGGATGATACAGGTAGGCACTGATTTACTGACAACTCATACCAATCTTTTGAATGAGGTCAAACTATCCTAAGAAACAGTGATAAAAGAATATCAAATAATCTTTTAATAAACTACCCAAAGCTGCTGAATGTAGGACATGTGTGTATACAGCTGTATTGGTATTTCTTTTCTTTACTATTCCATGCCATGTTTGTTGGCTAATACATAAGGAAATATGTATATGTATATGTCACATATGTACATGTCACCTTCACATATAAAGGTGACAACTTTTGTGTTCTATGTACAAAATAAAAAACTGAAATCTAGTTGATTTAGGAACCCAAGTGTTTGCAGTACATTTGGTGTGCTTAATAGTTGAAGTAAATGAGTTTAAAATAATCCTTCAGAGAGAAGATTAAAATATTTTTTTTAATCCTTCAACATTTTAAGAAAGTCATTAAATGGAGCTAAATGTTTGGATATTTGTGTATCTGTGTTCTTGAAATACCCTCCTTTGTGATTCAGGTAATAAGTGATGGTGCTTATTTATTATGTTATTATAAACCAATTATTGTAAAGGTTTTCTGTTTAGACAGAGAAATTTTAATTTTATACTTAAGTTCATTTATTCATTTATTAAATAGAGATAAATTAAAAATAAGGCCTAACCTTAAAGAGTTGTTAGTAAACTAGCAGAAATAAAACATGTACCTAAATAAGTATAAACCCTGTAGCCTGGTGGATATACCAGCTGCAGAGTCTCTGCTACATACTTTATAGCCCTGGGCAAGCTGCTTAGCCTCTCTGAACCTTTGTTTTCTCATCTATAAAATAGGAGTCATAATGGGATTCTCCCTGCTTACTTATAGAACTATAGGGAATATGCATTGAGATGTTATACATTTAAAAAGTTTGCAGTCTGTTAAGTGCTCTGTAAATGTTGTTGTTTGTGGTTGTAATTTAATGTAGAAATGAAAGCATAGCCACCAGAAGGGCAAACAAAACAAAAAATTAAAAAAAAAAAAAAAACCTCTGACAATAACAGTGCTGATAAGGATGTGGAGCTACTGGAACTTATGTTGCTGGTATAATCACTTTAGAAAAATGTTTGATTGTACTTCCAACCATAAACATTCAAATACCCTATGACCCAGTAATTCTCCTCCTGAGATGAAAAATGAGTACCTGTGTCCAACAAGAGACAAGTACAAAATATCCATAGAAGCCTTATTTGTAATAGCTAAAACACTGAGAAATGTCCATTTAGAATAGAATGGTTAAATAAATTGTGGTATAGTCTTACAATGGAATACTACTCTGCAATAAAAGAAGAACATACAATTGATATGCATGACTGGATGAATCTGAGACATGATGGGTGAAAGAAGCCAGATGCAAAGGAGTGCATACTATGTGACTCCATTTACATCAAGTTCAAAAACAGGCAAACTAATCTGAGATTAACTAACCCAATCTCAGAATAGAGATTAACCTTTGAAGGGGATTTTGACTGGAAGGGGGCACAAAGAATCTTCTGGGATGCTGGAAGTGTTCTATATCTTGACCTGAATGGATGATTACAAGGGTGATAAATTAATCAAGCTTAAGATTTATATAATTTAATGTAAATTATACTTTAATTTAAAACAACTGATAAGAATGCCAAGAAAAGTACATTTTAAGTGCTATAGGAGATCAGAAAAGGGATAATGATGCTATTTGGGAGAATCAGTGAAGGTCTTGGAAGAAATGATATTTGGCCCAAAGTAGGTTTTGAATAAGGTGAAAGATGAATCTGAGCTTTCCAGGATTAGGGAACAGAGTTAGCAAAGGCACAGAACTGAGAAGTCATGGCACTTTTGGAGTGAATGATGAGTATAGTTCAGTTGGAATGGCTCTTGGGGTACATGAATGAAGTTGTGAGGAAAGGTAGGTTGACATCAAGTTGTAGAGGGCTTTATTTTGTAGTATAGACAATAATGCCACAGAAACCTTTTGAGTAGAACTATGATCAGAGCTTCAGGAAGACTGGGTGATAAATTATAGAGGGGAGAGAGGGGAACTCAGGCTATCAGTCTGAAACCTTTTAGAATATCCATGCATGAGGTTGTAGGACCTGAAACAATATGACAGCAGTGGGCAGTACATGGAAGGATGACAGTTAACTTGATAAGTTCAAATGACTGGAGTTAAAATTACATAGATATGTGAAATGTGGTAAGAGAAGGTCAAGGATGAACCCAAGTTTCATCACCCAAGGGTGAGTGAGAAGTTGGAAAGATAGATTTGAAGCAGTGGTACTGAGTTTAATGGTGAATATCCTGGGTGAAATATGGAGAGAGAATGAGATAGGGAAAGGGGGGGGGTAGGGAAGATAGCAGGGAGAGAGGGAGGGAAGGAGAGAGGGAGGGAGGGAGAGAGAGAGACAGAAGAAAGGGAGGGAGGGAGGGAGGGAGGGAAAGAGGAAGGAAGGAAGGGAGGGAGGGAGGGAGGGAAGGAGTTAGTTACAAGTGAGGCCCTAGATATTGGGAAAACACCGAAACTTGTCTGTTGGAGTTCCTCTGATATCAGAACGTTGAAACAAAAACTGGAGTGTAAGAAGTTTATCTAGGGGGTGATTTCATAAAACAGAAACCAGTGAGTGGGGAGAGTAAGTGAGATGGGGAAGTGAGAAAAACCATACAGGGCATATTATTGAGCTGGTTGCTTCTGTGGGAAGAGGGATCTGGAGGCAACATTCTTCTGTATGTTTTAGGTTTGGTGATCTTTTTACATTCTTTCAGAGCTTTTATGAAAATTCTTCCCCATATATAAGTATTTTCTAGCACTATTATGAATTTCCTCCTGAAAAACTGCCCACATTTCTGGGAATTACAGGTGGAAAGGGGAGGCAGTTATCACTATCTTGATCAAATCTCTAGACTATTTTTTGTGAGGTGTTTTGAGTGTAGCTGACACACAATGTTATATTAGTTTCAGGTGTACAACATAGTGATTCGACAAGTTTGTGCATTATACTCTGCTCACCACAAGCGATCTCCCGAGTAGTTTTTAAATGGAAAAATGCTATATATTATTCCTGATCATAAAAATATGTCATCTACTTTTCACTTCTGTTAGTTTTCAATATTTAATTTGTATACTTCTAAATATGTCTCCTCTAGAAAGTAATCTATCTCCTGGACAACATAGGAGAAATGGTTGAATTCTTAGAAACCTATAACCTACCAAAAAGGAAGCAGGAAGAGATAGAAAATTTGAACAGACCAGTTACCTACAAAGAAATTGAATCAGTAATCAAAAAACTCCTGACAAACAAAAGTCCAGGACCAGATAGCTTCATAGGTGAATTTTACCAAATATTTATTTTTTTTTAAAGATTTTTATTTATTTATTTGTCAGAGAGAGAGAGCACACAAGCAGGGGGAGCAGCAGGCAGAGGGAGGAACAGGCTCCCCGCTGAGCAAGGAGCCTGATGCGGGACTCTATCCCAGAACCCTGGGATCGTGACCTGAGTTGAAGGCAGATGCTTAACTGACTGAGCCACCCAGGTGTCCTAAACATTTAAAGAAGAGTTAATACCTATTCTTCTCAAACTTTTCCAAAAAATAGAAGAGGAAGGAAAATTTCCACATTCATCCTATTAGGCCAGCATTACCCTGATACCAAAACAAGATAAAGACGCAACAAAAAAAGAGAACTACAGGCCAATATCTCTGATGAACATAAATGTAAAAATCTTCAACAAAATATTAACAGACTGAATCCAACAATACATTAAAAAAAATCATTCACCACAATCAAGTGGGATTTATTCCTAGGTTGCAAAGGTGGTTCAGTATTCACAAATCAATGTGATACATCACATCAATAAGAGAAAGGATAAAAACCATATGATCATTTCAATAGATGCAGAAAAAGCATTTGACAAAGCACAACCTGGATTCATGATAAAAGCCCTTAATAAAGTAGATTTAGAGGGAACATACCTCAACATAATAAAGCCTTTATATGAAAAACTCACAGCTAACATCATATTCAATGGTGAAAAACAGAGCTTTTCCCCTAAGGTCAGGAACAAAACAAGGATGTCCAGTCTCACCACTTTTTGAAGATTTTATTTATTAATTTGAGAGAGAGAGAG